TTTCTATTTATTCCTTCTTTTTGATGAACTTGTTACATATTATACTATTATTGATTGGTGGTGAAAAGTGTAAAAGTTTATTTAGAATGTCAATAGAACAAGCTGAATTCAAACTCTATATTACACAATTAGTATTCTTATTGGCAACAATTTTTGGATGTACAATATGTGGTCACAGTATTGGATTTTGTGTATGTATTCAACTTGTTGATTTTTACTCAAATTTATAAGATCCTAATTGTTTTACTTACTTTCCTTTCCTTCAAATTTATTACATTTAAACTCTTTTTTATAGCCATCATTTCTGTGTTAACATTGATGGTAAGTAAATGAATATTTTTCAAATCTAGATTTTGTAGAAAATTCTTAAAATCAATTCTCAAACAATTGAAATGGGTATGGGGGATGAACAAGATTTTGAAAGGTATGTGGAGGAGAGGTATCTTCAAAAGCAATATCAACAAGTAGAGGAACAAGTGGGTTCTCATGAAAGTAATTCAGAAATTGAGGATGAAGATTTTTCTAAATTGTCACTAGCTGATCCTAATTCTGATTCTGAAGAATTATTCCTATCTGAAAGAGATATTAACCCATGGGCCAAAGAAGATAAATTCAAAAAACCTCCAAAATATGCTATAGATTCTCGACAATTATTTAATGATGCTCAATCAATAGTTAATCCTCCCAATGAAAGAGATAACAGAGAAATATTAGAAGATGAAAACATGACAGATAGTGCTGACAAAACAGGAGAAAATCAAATTATTGATAAGAACATAGTGTCTTCCGATTTACCTCTTCAGGATATCATTTCTAACGAAAGTGACAAAAGAGAAATAATACCAGAAACACTGTTACCAAATTTTGAACAGCAAAACCTGATAGATTACAAGAAAGAAATCGTTGAATCATCAAATATTGAAAAAAAAACACTTTCAAGGTTGCACTGGATTGGCATTACATCATTCATGGTAGCAGTAATTTCTGTGCTTGTAATCACATTTCTTGATATTTACCAAACAGCTAAACATGGATAATAATAATTTATTGGATAAATTTACACTTTAAGGTTTGCTTCAAAGGCCTTAATAAGGTCATCAGCCAAATCTTTGATAAGCATAGAGCTTTCAGTTTCTCTAATGCGGAAGATTACAGAATAAAGTTCGGTTGTCATAATCTTAGGATTTTCACACCATTTGTATAAGCTTTGCACAATCTTAAGTTGATCAGATCGTACTTTTTTGTCAGAATGGGGTTGAAGAAGGGCATGTTTTACAACTTTGGTAATGAACTCGTTAGATTGACTTAAAGCCTTGCTTAATTTGACAGAGCTTGATATTATACTAAGAAGAGGAGACGAAACAAAACGAGAGGGTGCGCTACAAAACACGTCTACTAGTTTGTTAATATTCTCTGATTTGGCAAGAACAGATTCTACACGTTCCTTGTCTTCATTTAACCATTTGCTCAAAGACTCCATAGCTTTAAGTTGCCAATTTTGTACTCCTAATACTTTGATGTAGAACTCTAACATTTTGCTATCTTTCAACTCTTTTCTTACGCTTGGAACGTTCACTCTTACAATTTCACATAACATGTCAACAGCAAAGGTTTTTAAAATACTATCATTACTGATAAAATATTGTATCTCAGGAACAATACCAGCTTCCACAGCAATGATTTGACGTTTTTTGTTAAAGCGAGTAAGGTGGAGTATGGCTGTTATCATTTGGTTACCTATGGAAGCATCTCTTTCGGCTAATATTTTTACAAGGACTGGAATACCATCAGCTTTTTCAAATGATTCAAATGTGACAGGATAGGTAGCGAGATTTTTTGTTACAATAGCTAGGCTTAGCTTGAATTCTTTCTGATCCTCATTGTTTGTATCGAGAGTAGAGAAAGATTGTAAAATTCTCTTGAGAGAAGCAACTTCTGCCATATGTGCTCTGACTACTGAATCCATATTTGAGAATAGCAAGAGAAGCGATATTGTCTTGTCCAAATACTTTTTGGTAACCACATCATTGGTGTTAAGAGAAAATCTTTTCACAAGTAATAACAAAACTTCGCTTAGTCTTGGCATTAACCCGTTTTTGGAGAATAATCTGCAAAAATCATTCTTTGGAGTTTTGATAGCTTCTTGAGGTAAATCAAAAACTTGTTCAATATTCTCTATTGTTTCGTAAACTAATTCTATACCATCTTCAAGACGATCATTGTCATGGGCCAACAAGTCAACAAGTACTCTAATTCCTTGACATCCAATAAACATTCTCACTGTAAAATGGCTAGTCTTGAAAATACTTCTAATAAACGATCCAGCTTGATATCTAACAGCATATGGATAGTTTTTGTGGCAAAATTGCATAATATTTGGAAGTATACCAACTAAACACAAAGTCTCTTTAAAGTGAATACTCTCTTGAAACCAGGCAATATCATCCTCTAGAATGAATTGGTTGATGAGCTTTAGGGCTGCCTCTATAGTTTTGTATGATGAAGAATACTGTTGAGACATTGAGAGAAGTTCTACAAATGGTATTGGAACAACTGATTTCACTCTACACTTTAATCTAGCGAACTCTGTAAGTATGGAAATAAGTTTTTCACATTGCACAACAAACAAGTCTTCTGTCATTACATCCTGTTGAAATTTTTCCAAAAGCATGTTAAAATCCTTCTCTGGTTTTAATAGTTCATCATCATTTTGTTTGTCCATATCATCAAAAATATCTTCAAATGTATCTTGGAAGAATAGATCATCCTCAATTGCTTCCTCTGCTCTTCCTTGAACTTTTTGCATTTTTGCAAATAAATCTTCAGTAGAATTCTTGTCTCCTTTTCCATCCCATGGATCCAAATCATCCTCCCATTCATCATCGTCATCTTCAACATAGATTGATAAATTTTTCTTACTATTTCCTCCTGGAAAGAATGGTTTTGGAAGGAATTTTTCTTTATCCTTTGGAGCTATGTTAACCATATTTGAGAAAGGATTTACATCGTCATCATCATCAAAAGGATTATCCTCTCTAGGAGATTTAAGCTTGTTTCCGATTTTTAAAGCAAGTCCATCATCATCATCTCCAAAATCAAAATTATCCTCTTCTTCATCTTCATTATATTTTTCGAGTTGTGTTGTCTTGATTTCGCCTTCCTTTTCTTTGGTTGTAACTGGTGTTGGTTGTGTTTGCTTTTTTCCTTGTAAAATCCAAGGATGTTGTAACAGTTGTTCAGCTGTTTTTCTTGATGTTGGATGCTTTTTAAAACAATCCATTAAAAAGTCTTCACATTCCGCTGAGATACCTGTTGGTAGTGGAGGATGTTGATCTTGCACAATTCTATACAATGCAGGCATGGCATCCAAATTAAAATATGGAGGTTCTCCATTTAAAAGTTCAATAACAGTAGCACCCAAACTCCAAATATCAGAAGCAGGTGTGGAAGGGTTCATTTCAATAATTTCGGGAGCCACTATTAAAGGTTAAAATAAAAGACGATCAAAAGTTTTACTTACTCCAATACGGTGTACCAACAGGATTGTCATCCACATCTGCTAAAGTTGCAGCCACACCACTATGAAAAGTTATTACAAAGGAATTAAATAGTTTTCACTTACAAGTCTGCTAGTTTAATGTCACCTTCCTTTGTTGTTAGAATGTTTGCACCTTTAATATCTCTGTGAATAACACCTTCAGAGTGTAGGTATTGCAAACCTTCCAATACTTGAGCAACATATTTGCAAACAACATTTTCCTTCATATTACCATATTTTTGTACAATATCCAACAATGAACCAGTTTCCACAAACTCAATCACAATATATAATTTACTCTTAGAGGGTATATGATCCACATATCTTACTATTCTATTATGTTTTAACTTTTTCAACAAATTGATTTCGGTCTGCACATAGAGATCGGATCATGATAATAATAATTAAAACGTACATGAATTGTTTCTATTTGTTCTTTTGAACATTTCTTGACCGTTATTCTTTTTACAGCAACAAATTCACCAGTGTCCGTATTGTAGGCTTTATAAACAACGCCAAAACCACCTCTACCTAATACCTCTCCCAATCTCTTTTAATAACACTATTAACAACATACTAATATCATTAACCTACATATTTGTTGCCTATAGTTTTAACCTTGTCCTTCTTTTTCTTTGATTTCTTATCTGTCTCACCCACCATTTTATTAGAGCAGTTGGTTCCGGACAGATGAAACCGTCAATTTTTTCTAATTAAAAAATTTAATTGTTATTATTATTTACAAATTATTATTCTTCATCGTTATCTTGTGGTTCGTCCTTCTTTGGAGGGATAAACTTTTTCATGTCTTCTATTGTTGGATCTAATTGTTGGCATAATTTCACTTCTTCATATTCGTTCAATATTGGAAGTAAGAACTGTGGAGAGAATGCGCCACCCTTATAACCGTAACCAATGTAAACATTGGAAAATACCATATCTTTCGAGTTCCTCTTGTAACCAACCGTAAAGGCACCATTCCATAATCTATTTGAAAGACAAATAACCTCATTATCAAGACTTTGATGTGATGATCTTATTGTCCAATTTTCTTTTGAAATTGAGGATAATGGTTTAGGTATTCTTTCAACTGTTTTCTTCAATTGATCAAAGTCTGGGTTTTCTTTTTCCTCAGAAGTCCAGAAGAATGAACATCTTCCTTGTTTTCTTAGTATCGGTGGAAGAAGGTTAACCCAACTGTTATGTTTAGAAATATCTAGCTTTGCCAATTGCTCTTCAAATTCAGTATTTTGTTCAATAGCAGCAAGGGTTTCATTTGCAATAGTTAAATTAGGTGGAAGATTCAATTCTGGATCTACCTCGTCTTCATCTGCGCTAAGCTTCATTCTTCCCAATGGAGCTAGGATGCAAGAGTGAGAGATTCTTGCAATCTGACATCTCAATAGTTCCATTTCTGTGCCTTTGAATGGAGGGTGTGACAAAACTTGTTGGTCCAATCTTCCAGTAAAAAACTTTTTGATTTTTCTGCTTCTGTTAATGCTCTCTGGGTTTGAATCTGGAAGTCTTGTCCAAGTATCAGCATTTCCGCCAACATTATTTGATACATAGTAAATGTATTTGTTTGTTCCATCAGTTTCGGGTGGAATTCCATTTTCCTTTTTTTCATTTTCATCATTGTCTTGTTCTGGTTCATCAGTCTTCTTAGTTTGTTCTGTCTCTAGTATGTAATAATTTTTCTCTATTCCCAGTATTTTGCCAAAGAAACGAATGGAATCTATGTCATTGTTTGATGAAACAACTGATTTCATTGAAACCAATAACCGGATGAGTTCCATTTCTCCAATTCCAATACCTACATCCCTGAATAATTTTCCTTCATAGAGAATATCAGACATTTTGAGTGTATCCAATCCTTCCTCCCCTTCTTCTGTGTTGTCTACATCTTCATCTGTTTTTTTCTTTGGCTTTATTGGTGGATTTATAAGGGCAAGGTATTGTTCGGATCTCTTGAAATCCTTTTCCAAAATATTTTCATCATCTACTCCCATCCATGGTTTGTACAGTTTTGTTAAACGTTCAAAGGCTGATCTTTCCTTTGCAGGAACGAAGCTTCCTTCCTTTACTAAATTACAAAATTGTTCAATTTTAGAGAATGGATTTTTAGGCTTTTCTTGAAGTAATCTGAAAATTACTTCTGAAAAGAAATCCTCAATCGTAATTTTTTCCTTTTCCTCACCAAGATCCGTACATTTAACCTTTGATACAAAAGACATTTTTTTTGTTGTTTACTGATGAATATGTACAATTTTGGCGGGAAAAAATCGTTTATCCAATTACCGCCAAATCTACATACAAATCAGTTTAGATAAAAAATACATTAGATTAAAAAATGGACGTACTCAAGGAAAAGCAATTCATGATAACCTCGGAAAGGTGGCAATTATTGGAGAAGGAAAGATTGGAGATGTAAGTGTAATCAATTAATGTAATACTTATTATTCAGACTAAGGAAGAGAGAATTAATTGAACACAGGATTGATTTACGATATCACTCAGAGGAAGGATTGGAGCAACATAGATCTGATTATTATAAGAGACTTTTGAAAAAGGTGGAAGACAATTTGGAAAAGAGTAAAATTAGGAACAAACTTTTGGTGAACAAAGCAGATGATCTTCTACAAAGCGTCTCAGTATCAAACTCAAACAACCTTGTAAAGTCAAAAGTCAAGTTAGAGGTTGCAAAGGTAAGGAATAATTTCTCAAATTTCTTACACTCAAAAGAAACAATTTTTACAATCCTTCCAGGACAGAGTAAAGGAATATGAGGAATTGGGGAGACACCAAAAACTCAAACAAATCAGAAAGACAGAAGAGGAAATTGAAATTGAGAGAAGGAAATTGAGGGAGTCTACATTGGAATGGGAAAGAGAAAAGAAAGTTAATAATGATCTTCAAGAAAAAATTAAAGAGCTCATTGTAACAAAAGAAATATCAAAAAAAGAGGCTATTGAGAGGGAGGCAGAAAGAAAGGCTATTCTTGAAGGAGAGAGAAAAATCCAAAGAGCTGTTGAACAAACATCCGTTGATGCGTCAAAAAGATATTTGGAGAAAGAAGAAAAGAGGAAATTAGAAGCTGTTGACGGTAAAGATATTAAATACAAAGGTAAGAAGAAACTGGAAACATCTTTAATTTTAACAACCTTAACAGGTCTTGTCGAAGAAGTGTACGAAGGAAAAATTGGAATTGCTGCTAGAGAAAAATTTGTGTCTCAAGAATCGTTTGAAATACAATCTCAACAAGTTCAAAAACCTGTTGATGAATTATACTATAATGACGGATATAGCAGCTTTGAAGAAAAGCATAATCCAAACAGTTTTGCAAAATTTAAAGAATGGCAGAAAAAACAAACTGTTGACAAGAAGAAACCCGAAATGTCTCAAACACAAAAGCCAAAACATCAAACCCAGCAACAAACCCCAATTACTCAACCAATGAGGGAAAATTGTGTTGAAAAAAATTATAGACAGGAAGAGTTCAAAGAAATTAAGCCAGCACGAGAAGATTACAAAGAAATTAAGCACGAGGTCAGGGAGGAGGAAATAAAACCAACTCCTGTGTCCCAGACGACAAAGGACGTGCTTGGAGATAGCATTGGATCAATTGAAGATAGGGAATCTGAGAGTGATGACATCACCAAATCATTCTTGGAATCTATCAAAAAACCAATGTTGGTTTCAGCTTTGAGTAAGAAGGATGACAAGACTTCTCCCATCTCATCAATGATAAAACCATCAAGCCCAAAGAACATAGTTATCACTCCAGAAGAAACAAAGAATAATAACTTTGTTAAAATTCAGTCTCCTAAATCCTTTACAAGTACTTCACCACAACAAAATAGAACAAACCAAACCTTTGCAAACCAACAAGCAACCTCAATCTCCCCAACAAAATCTACACCCCCTCCAAATCCTGTTATTGAAAAAAAGAAGGAAATTGAAACTAAAAAAGATCCAGAAAAAGATCCAGTAGAACACAAGGAAGGTGATTCAAAAACGAAAAAGATCAAAAGTTTCTTTTCTGCAGCATTCAAATTTAATGGGAAGAAGAAGGAAGAAGAAAAATCAGAGGAGACTGAATCATCCTCTGAAAATGATTCAAATGCACAAGACAAAGAAGGAGACAATATGGTCCAACAAAGAGTCAAAAAGTTAAACCAATCAAAACTGGTTACAACTCTGTCTTCTTACATGCTAGAGTTAGAAAATCACCTTAAAGAACAAAAAGAAAGGTACAACAAAATGTCCTTAAACTACAAGCTGGAAAATAAGGAGAGTCAAGAAACGTTGGTATACTCAAACTGCCCAAAGATAAATGGGAAAAATAGAGTACTGAATATTGAATCATCCAAGAAAGAAATTGAGCCAGTCATGAAGTGCGTGGCTTGTTTAGATATAATACAGTATCTCCCATCACCATTAATAAGTGTTGAAATATTGGATGAATATTTAGAAAAAGACACTGAGTATGAAATTGAACAACTTTCGAAGTATTTGAATTCATTTGGCTTAGAAGTTTGGCGATTAATAATAACACATGTTTCCAACTTGTCAAAGTTGGAACCCAAGTGGAGAGAGCCCTTACTGAAAGTGTTTTCTGAATCAATTTGCAAAACCCTTCCACCAAGTAAGAACACAACTGAAGCTAAAAACAAAACAAAGACCCTGCTGAAAACTTATATTTCAACCAAAAAATCCAACACTACTATTCCTGACACAACAACACTCGAACAACCAAAAAAGAAGTAAGTAACTTACTGTATTATTGCAATTAATGTTTTAAAGTTCTATGGAAAAAACAAGAGAACCAGAAGCCAAGGAGGTCCCTAAAAAATCAATTTTGGATGACAGTGAGGAAGACAATATATTTGATAAACCATTAACGCAAGTGACAAGACCTCTTAGTTCAGCTGCAAATAACAAATTTAAAAAATCAACAAGACTCATAACAAGTGTCAGTGCTTTCAATCCAACATCGTTCGCTAAACTTAATAAGAATATTTTGAATGAAGATACTTCAGATTCAGATATTGACAATATTATTGCAAGACCAAGAAATATTTCTTCAGCTCCAACAGAGAGAACCAGCAAATCAGTAACACCCGTTCCAGCTGTGACTGTAACATCTGGTAGTAACGCTAAGGATTTTGATGATGATGACCTGGATTTTTAAAGCTGATCTTTGTGATCATAGACCTTTATTATCACATTTCTTAAGCTACCACAGTAAGTGGTAAAAGTGCAACTCTCTTATCAATAATTTCCTGTACTCATCGTATAAAAGTATTAGAATACCATAAAATACTGGAAGTAGCCAAAACAACCAAATCATATTTCTTGTTCCAAAAATATAATCACCAATAAAAGGTACATAAATAGCAATACAAGCTATGCATACAGAAAATATTATTCCCATGTAAATGGCCAAATTACTAAACATTCCTTGCATAAGTAAAGATGTTCTTCTGGTTCTAGAGCTTACTAAAGCAAACCATTGACAAACAACTATTGCAAGGAAGTAAGCCGTTTGGGCTGTTGCTAGAATATTCCATTGGGCAGATGGAGATAGAAAAAGCCCTGTTTCTGCAATATACAAGTATTGGGTAGTCGAAAGAGAAAAAAAGCCAGGTACACTTCTAAATAGGTAATGAGGAGGAATTCCATAGTAGGCCAAAGCAAAGAAGAAGGAGGTAAAGGCGGCCAATGTTTCAATAACACCAACCTGCATATATGAAAATGAAAGTACTCTCACACCAACAAGAAGCTCTGATTTTGGTCTTGGAGGAACTGTCATAATGTCGCTCTCTTTTGTCTCATACGATAAACTAATTGCTGCCACCAACTCAGTACCGAGGTCTATGCACAACACTAATAAACCAGTTATTGCTGGAGGCATTCCAATAATTATTACAAGTATTCCACAAAGTTCTGGGAGTAAATGAATAAGAGTATAACTAATACTCTTTTTCAGGTTATCAAAAATCAATCTTCCTTCCTCTACTCCATTTACAATTGAGGCAAAATTGTCATCCATTAAAATAATGGCAGCAGCTTCTTTTGAAACGTCTGAACCAGATATATTCATAGCAATGCCAATATCTGCCTTTTTTAGTGCTGGTGAATCATTTACACCGTCCCCAGTAACTGCAACACAATTTCCAGCTTCTTGAAATTTGCTAACAATGACCAATTTTTGTTGAGGAGAGGTTCTAGAAAATACAATCTGCTTTTTCTTCAAAATATATTTCCATTCTATGTCTTTTAATTTATCTATTTCCTCTCCATTAAGAACCACTGCATCAACATCTGGTCTTTTGTACTCAATTATTTCTGGTGGAAAACCCTCCTCAGCAGCAATGTCATCTCTCGTTTTACTATTTGATTCAAGAATACCAACCTGTTTTGCTATTGCTTTGGCAGTTGTGGGATGGTCACCTGTTACCATTACAACTTGAATCCCTAAAAGAAATTAATTACAAATTTTCATAATGAATTCACTTACCTGCATGTTTACATTTGGTAATAGCATCTGTAACTCCAACTTTTGGTGGGTCAGTCAATCCCACAAGCCCTATAAATGTAAACCCATTTAAAGGTAATTGTTGGTTAGTATCATCAGAAACTGCAATAGTACTACCGGTAGGATCTCCTCCAATCTTAACTGTACCTGTTTCTTCTCTCTCTTTTACTTGATTTACTAAATCAGTGGTGGTAAATCTTTGAGCTAATCCTAATACACGTTGTCCCTTACTGGCAAAAAAAGAGTAGGCATCTTGAAAGTGTTGTCTTAAATCATCATTGATGGATATTGCCTGACTATTCAAATAAATGGAATCACATTTTTCCAATACTCTCTCTGGTGCTCCTTTCAACAGCATTAGTGAGTTCGCATTATCAAAACATTGACCTTGACAAGAGTGAATGGTGAGCATCCACTTGTTCTTTGAATTGAAGGGAATTTCATAAAGTTTTGGAAAACCATTTCTAATATCCATTAAGCTGGCATACTCTGATCTTGTTTCTACAAATTTTACAAGTGCTATTTCTGATGCATCTCCAATGCATTCCCTGTCTAGGATTGGTTTGTTTAAATTCTCTTCAGATTCAACGAAAATGGTCTTGGAACAGAGTGCGGAACATCTAATGAGTTTTTGTGGAGTTGATAAATTTACCTCTTCAATGTTAGCAAAGTTTGGGAGTGATTCTACGTTTGGTTTGGATTTCATCATTCTATTTTGATAACAGACATCTGAAAGTGATCCATCACACCACTGTTCTACAACCGTCATTCTGTTCTGAGTGAGGGTGCCTGTTTTATCAGAGCAAATTACATTTACACCACCCAATGTTTCTACATGCTCTAATTTCTTTACCAATACGTTAATATCTGATAATCTCTTTGCAGAAACTGTCAAACATAATGTCATTGTTGCAATCAAACCTTGTGGAATGTTGGCAGCAATAATTCCAGTACTGAAAAGAACACACTGAAACCATGGATTTCCTAATGCAAGCCCAATCACAAAAAATACAACAGCTAAAATTAGCGACATAGAACCTAAAGTTCTTACAAAAGTGTCTATTTGCCTTCTTAGAGGTGTTTTTAAGGGAGAAGCTTGGGCCATTAGAGCAATTTGGCCAATAACTGTTTGACCACCAGTCCTAATAACAATACCAATTGCACTCCCTTCAACAACAATAGTTCCAAAGAATGCAAGATTTGAAGATTCTAAAGGATTATGAGAAGATGATTCAACAGTTCTGGACTGTGGCTCAGATTCTCCTGTCAATGAACTGTTATCCATTTTCAAACCATTTACGAATAATAGTCTTAAATCAGCTGGAACTTTAGAGCCAGGTTCAATATGAATCAAATCTCCGACTACAACTTCTGAAACATCTATTCTTTGTAAATTTCCCTCTCTTATAACCATACAGTTAGCTGTTTGTAAAGCTAAAAAGGCAGCAATAACTTTTTCAGAGCTATGTTCTTGCCATAGAGTAATTGTTGCGTTCATAACCACCACAAACCAGAGTATGGCCCCTAAAAATATATTTGGATAAGAGGCAGGTGTACGGTCAATGGCAACATTAATGAAACTCAATAACCCAGCAAATAACATTAGTAAAGAGAAGAGGGTTGTTAATTGATCGATAACTTTCCAAATAAACTTTTCTCGTTTTGGTGGAGTGAAAATATTTGGTCCATTGATTTTGAGTCTTTGGGTTGCTACTTCTTTTGAAAGCCCATACGAAGATTGTGGATTATCAATATTGAAAGAAGTATTATATAATTCACAAACTTTTTCAGAACTCATTTCATGCTCTTCAATAATTACTGCTTTCTTTTTTGCTTTTTGAATATGCTTTTTCTTGTGCTTTCGGTGGCGATGAATGACTTTATCCTTTCCTTTAGAAATTTCATCGTGCATAATATCAATAGATTGCCTAACTTCTTCAAACAGCCTTGGAATCTCACTTACTTGAGGAGCTGTTGCAACATTCAGAGAAGGATTGGGAAGAAAGGTAGAAAGAACAGAAGATCTTCTTGTAAAGGTTGGAACTGTTTCGGTAGGTTGAGGTATTTTAGAAGGATTCATACTGTATCTTCTTCCCAACTCTGTCAAGTCTTCATCTGGTCTTACATTCGATAAATCTATTGAATAAAGTCTGTTAGGATCTATGAAGCTTGCTCTTCTTATAGGATAAGTGCTTGGAGATGGTAGAGGATAATCGGCATCATTATTGGGAAAACTATCTTGAACAGGTTCATTCGAGTCATTTGATTGTGGATTATTCACCAAGTTGGTACTTGGAAAACGGAAGCTATCTAAATTACTGCTCATATTATGGCGTAGAAGTTTTAGTTGTAAAGTGAATAATTTTTATATTCTTGTTAATATCAAGCCTCCTCCATGCATCTACTCTTTTCAATTTGTTTAGAATGTCTATTTGGTAATTTGACATATTTGTATACATTATTTAAAATAATTTAGATTCCAGTAATGTATTGGATTAGGTTAAAATCCATTTTAATTATCCTTAAATAAATACACTTCAATATTAGCCAGTGAATCTGCAAGTGTTAATAATTCTTTTTCCATAATATAGATCGCATCCTGAGATTGTGGAGCATAAGAATATGCTTCAACTGCTAATAATCCTGCATCGAGTATTTCAAAAGGCTCTGGTTGATTTTTATCAAAATTTGTTGTAACATTAGCTCTCTTTTTCACTTTTTTCACAACAAATACGTCTACAAAATATCCAGTTTTAGATACAAAACGGTTTCCTTCTTTCACATATTCATGAGAAAAACTATTAAATCAAATATTTTCATTAACATTATTAAATAAATTACTTACTCACAACCCATCATTTCCGACATTACAAGTGGATTGCCTCCATATATTGTACTTAGTGTGACAGTTCTAACAGTAGATTTGAAAGGAGCCTCCTTCTTTGGAATAACTATTTTTCCAAGTGATTTAATTTCTCTCCAAATAACTTGTTCAATAGATTTTGTTTGATTAAGCTTCTCTACCACAATATCAGCTAAAATATGAAATTCAACTTCTTTACTCTTAGAAAGAGAAATCATAGAGGCATCTTCTGATGTAGAAATATTGCTATTAGTAGAAACAACAGGAGGAAGGGATGATTTGGTACGGTAAACATTGATCCACTCTTTAAAAGGTTTTGGTTTTGATCCGATGATTGATGTTAATCTAGAGATTAGTATTTCTTTTTGTTCATCTTGAATACAGCCTGTAATTTTAATTTCGTTGGTTATTGTATTTACAGGAAGGGAAGATAAATTCATTTTTTTATTATTTTTTTAATATTAATCGGTAATACTTTTAATAAAATTGAAAAATCGCCCTGCATACATGTTTGGATCAACCACACTCACACCACTTTCACCACCAAAATAGAGAGTTTTGATAAGGTTTTCTCCTCTCTTTTTTAGGCCATACTGAATCAAAATATCAATTATTCCAACAAAATAATATTCATCTCCTAGGCTTGATCTCATACCTCCACATTCTTCTTGATAGAATGTTCTTGGAGGAGGAGAAATATGGAAAGGATCATTATAATTAATTGGTTTTTCTCGTAACTTGTTGATTTCATGAACACCAACAAGCATTGAATAATCTATTATTTCATTTGCCTCCAAAAATTTGGTGTCTGACTCAACCTGTCTCAAGAACCACTCCTTCTTGGATCCTAAATTTAAAGATTGCTCAGAATCTTTCCAATTTAAATCTTTTAATATTCCAACACCAGATGAATTGAATCTACCAATTGTACTTCCTTTCAAATCATAAATTTTGTCAATAGGTAATTGAGTGTCAAAAGCATTTCCCATTACAATGAAGTAGGTATCATTAATTCTATGAAGACCGTATATTCTAGTAAGGAGTGTATTCCTGTTTCTATGTAAATAAGTATAATACTGAGATAAAAATACTAGTGCTGTTTCGAATTCTGATGTAGAAATAGTTTTACATAAAAATCTACCATTATTTGTATAGAAGAAGAAATTTCCACTTTTTCCATCAGTTAGTCTTTCACTCAGTGAGGTTAATCTTCCTACTAATAAATTACTAATAAACATTTCAGGCCCAAAAGACAAAGCATATTCCTCCTCTGAAACTCCAAATATTGCTCTAATATTTCTAAATACTAGAGGAGCAAAATCTGTAAATGTGATATGTTCATCAATGTACCTGGTCGATTCATCATTACCACTAACTCCATCTTGCTTGATGCATGTCAAAAATTTTGCTAGTGGGATCTCAAAAGAATAAGTATATTTGAAATCTCTCATATAAAGATAGTCATTTGAAAAGTTAGATCTATTTTCCTGTGCAGCTCTAATACCTAACATCATTGATAAAACCTTATGAAATGAAGGATGGCCAAATAAAACCGGATACCCACCATTTCTCGGAAGATTTTTCATTAATTTGGATTGTAAATTTGAATCTATTGGAAATTGTGAAAATCCAAGTATTAAGAAGGGATTTTGTTTGATTGCTTTCAAATAATCTTGAGCCGTAAAAGAATCATTGTTGGTAATACAGCTGAAAATTCTATCAGCTACACTACCAGCATAATTAAGAGTTTCACTAGTTCCTATTAGAACAAAGTTTGAAGGAGAAGTAGGACTTAAGGCCGAGTTGGAAACATAAAGTCCCATATATTCCAGAATTGAAAATATTTGTTGAAATAACAATTTAAATTCTTGTCTTGTTACACTACCATTTCCTTCCTTATCCATAATATTGAATCCAAATAATATTTGTTCATCAACAATATTGTTAGAATATAACAATGCAAGGTTTTCTTTGAAATCTGACATTTCTATTAATCCACTCCTGTTAGAATCAAATGCATTAAAAATTCTACCTCCAAAACTATTAAGAATTTTTGATTTCTTCACTGTTGGATATGGTGCTGAAAAATCAAATAAAAACTCCTTATCAAACGCAACCAAGGATAAATGCTTTACAAATTCATGAATATCCAAAACATTATCTTTTGTTTGTCCGTCTATATAACCAAATACAGCATTGAAATATTTGTGTTCTTCATCTGAAAGCTTATTAGTAAGCTCTCTTTTTTGAATATTGCTGATCATTCTTTGAGATAGTGACTTTCTCTTTGATTTTTTCTGAGTTACTTGGAATTCAGATTGAGATCTTTGTAAGTTCTTTTTTTCTTCAAACTTTGGTGTGCCTTTTGCGCTATCCATTGATTGGTTAACTGGTTGTATTGGTTGAGGCGGAAAATTAAGAGGAGGTATGACCGGTGTGCTCTTTATGGAGAGATTGTATGGATCATTACTGTTAGGAGAGGATTTTTGTTGAGAAGTTGGTGTTTGACTTTTCAGTTCCTTTTGTACTGGTTTTTCAGGGGTTGTGTTATTCATAGCTTGTTCAAAAAGAGCAGAAAGATGTTTAACTGATCCTGATGGTTTTGCTGATTTTTCATCTTCAACTGTTTTACAAAGTCTTTTTTCATCTTGAAGATTGTCCTTAGATACAATTTTAGGTGGAACCTTTGGCTTTGGTCTTTCAGGTGATTCTCTTTGAAGGGACAATGATGGCACTTCTGATAAACTCTTTCTTTTGAAAGGAGGGGGAGTTCTTTTTCTTGTTGAATTTTCATTAGTGGAAGGAGTATTGTTTACAGAAACGTTAGTGGGTGGTAAAGGTTTTGTCAGAGAAGTTCGATCTCCTCTGGGTGATCTATCTAAGATATAACTTGAACTATTAGTTACAGTAAGAGAGCTGGAGGAAGAAGTGTTTGAGCTGGTTGGTGGTGTGGAAGTTGAATTATTAGTGAAAAAGGATGATCCATTCTTTGTAAATATTTTGATTCTACTACTGTTAGAATCGGAGAATGATGAAGATGAGTGTAAACCAAACTCTTGATTGCCAAGTATTAATCCGCCACCACTTCCAATCTTTTTAGTGGATGATTCTACAGGTGTTCCTAATGAGGGATAAATTGTGGAGTCTTCTTCATTGGTTCCCCTCTCATCATTTGAATCATCAATACCACCAAAGTAACTTTTCCTATTCTTTAAAATTAATTCACTCCTATAGAGGCATTCTCTAGCAAAGAAGAATAATTGTTGTGAACCCAAATCAACAGACCAAGATGTGCCCTTCTCCGATTTATCACCAGTAGTTAATTGTCTAAGTTGAGAGGTAATTAAATCAATACAACACAAATACTGAGCAAACGCTTCTACATAATTCTTATCATCCTCATATTTTAAAGCATTTGAAAGTGAGAGTCTAACCTGATTCAGAGACATATTATTCAATACATTGATCAGTTCCTAATAATATTTTTTTGATGGACCAATGGAACAAGCTAAGAATATGAAGTGGAACCAAATTAAAACCTATTAATAAATATTTCAGTCAAAGTTCCTTACTTAAGAAAATATTTATTCTTTCTTCCGTAATTTTGTGATATTGTTCAATGTAATAATATTTATTAATTTTAATTTTTTAAATATAAAAAATGATGCAAAGGGTATCACGCTCAATTTCAGCTCGTTTGCCAACCTTGGTTTTGTACTCAAAAAAATCAAGTTTCGGAAAGAGTATTAGTAAATTACCTATTATTCATGTGGAACCTTGTGTAAAACAATATCATTCTAATTTTGTTAACTTGTCAATTAATCCAGAAAAATTTAAAATATTAGAATCAATTTACGACCAATTAGTTAATGTGGATATTGTACAACTTTTTGAGAGAGTAGAAAAACACAAGCAACAATTGCAATTAATGTCACTGGACAGAGTTAAAAATTCCGTCACAACCGACAGATCCTCTTCAAATTCTCCAAAACCTAAATTAACTATTGAACCTCTTCAAGAAGATGTCAAGCTAAGAATATTAAAGAGTTTGGAAATTCTTGCTTCATTACCGATTCCTCAAGAAGAAACTTTGGATGAACAAGGCAAACGTATAAAATACATTAAGAGCCAAGCTTTAAAGGCCTTAGGTGCAATATACTCAGAGTTCTATCCATGGATGAAAATCGATAGAGATCCACATTTGGGTTTTTATTATATGCTCTCTTCTGCAAAACTTGACGATCCTGAGGCTTGTTATCATGTAGGAATTACATTCATGAATGCACTTAACTACTTAGCTGAACAAGAGTTAGAACCAGAAAAGTACAATTATATCAAGTCTTCGAGTTTTATGTATGGATCTGAGTATGATAAGGAAACAAGTACTTTTGTTTATATAGATGAAAAGTCCAGAAAGAAAAAGAACTTAATAGCTCAAGGAAAAGAAGAATTGTTAAAACAAAAAAAAACATCTGAAGAATACCTAAAGTATCCAGGAATTACAAAGGATGTTGTTTATATCAAGCTAAAGGAGAATGAAAAATTCTCTGTGGAATATTTAAAAAAGGCTGCTGACTTAGGTGATGTAGATGCACAACTGATTATGTCTAAAATTTATTTGGAAGGAAAGGCTGGAGTTTCCTCAAATCTCAAATTTTCAATTCATTATGCGGAATTAGCAGCTAATCAACATAGTGGCCAAGCCCTTTTTAACTTAGGTAGTGTTTATCTGGTGGGAATGAGATCTCAAGTACCAAAACCTGGCTTTGAAGATTTTACTGACTATCAAATTCATACCACTCCAAATTCAACAGAGTTATTCGAAATTAAGAAAGATGTAGCAAAGGCAATCGAATATTATGAACGTGCAACCCTTTGTAACTCCTCGGAAGCTGCATATTTCTTAGGGCATGCATACCATCACGGATTATATAATTTACCACAAAACACAGAGAAAGCCATCCTATATCTAAATCAAGCAATTAACTCAGCTCACAATGAAGCAGCTCACTACCTTTATTTAATGTATTTGACCGGGGAAAATTGCCAACAAGATTTACAAAAGGCTGAATACTATTTCAAAATAGCTATCCAATTACAGAGTCCAAATGCCCTTTTCGTTTTGGGTGATCGTTACTTCCATGGTAAAAATGGCTATCCAGTTGACTATTCCAAGGCTTACGAGTTCTATACTATTGCTGGTGAAAGAAAGAATAAGAATGCATTGTATTGTTTGGGAGTTATGCATTATCATGGCATCCATGTTGAGAAGAGCCACAGACTAGCTTACGAAAGGTATACACAGGCTGCTTCTGCTGGATCAAAAGAGGCTTACCTTGCCCTTTCTGATATGGTACTTAAAGGAGAAGGTGGCGTACCTCGTGATGAACACTATGCAAAACAACTCAGAATAGCTCACGAACGTCTTGTGGCCATTGAAGAAGGAAGAGCAATTAATCAATGTAAAGATACTGACCCAGCCATGGTTGCATCTGCAGGTTGTGGTAAATCAACTTGTCAATGTGCCCCACCACAGTAAATAGCTAAATCAAGCAATCAAATAAAATTTATATCT